CTGTATTATACTATAATAAAGCGTGTTAGCCCAGTTAGCTAGCTGCCTTTCAAACACGTTTTGGAATGAAACCCAGTTCTAAATGTGATCAAAACGTACCCCCACCTGTTTAAATGCGATCAGGTCGGATATTGTGCATTTCCTCGTAGCGTTTTGCTAGCGGATCGTACTTAAATGGCCATCTGGAAATGAAGTGTGTAAACTTTCCTCTGAACTTACAGTCCTGAAAGCCCTTTGCCTTCTTAGGTGCTGTTTTTGTTGGCATAGCCAGTTAGCAAGAGGACAGAGGAAGAGGAGGTCTGAACCCCATCCCTCAAACAGGAAACAAAGATAAATCAAATAATACGAAAACTAAAATCTCATGAGCAATGCATGATCATGCTTTTGTAACGAGTTTGCATTTGGGAGATGTTTGATTCTAAGATCATGGCACATTCATAAAACCCAAAATGGATGCGGATGTTAGATGCATGCACATAAAAGACGCATGGCAACTGGGAAATCATCATGCATGCTTTCAAAAAGGAATTTAAATTATCTAAATGTTTTATAGAGAGTTTCTGCAGTTTATCTTTAGCACAGTATATTAAAAAAGATCTCTTTAAATGTGGCAACACAGTCACAACACTATACTGCTGGAGGGTGACAGAATTCATTGGTTTACCATAGCATGAGTTTAGATTACTAAAAATCCTTCACAAATGGAAAATAATATATCAAACTAGAACACACTTGTTTACCAAGTCATCAGAACTAATTTAACAAGCAAGGTGGTTTTGGTTTAATGCCTGGCAGCCATTTTACATGGAAGCTAAAGCAAAGCCAACATGCAGTGATGCTTTAATAGCTTGCTAGCTGATGTGACAGGTCCTTATGATGACCTAAACTACTTATAATCTAGTTCTCTTACACCCCTCACGGTTATGCACAATTAACAATAGCCTAACGGTTGCATTTCGCAAAAGTAACGTTATTTAAAAACACTTTAGAGCGAACATAGGCTAAAGAGGTTAAGCTAGCGACCAGGCGAGCTAACGTTAACGTTAGTAAGCTAACTTCCACTCAAATCGAGGTCATCTCCGCTTCTTTCATTTAATCAACCTAGGGTCTGCATACTATTGTTTACTACACGTCCAGTGTTGTATACCAGTGCTTTTCCATGCAATGGCCAATCATTACTGAAGATCAGTGCGGATTTCCTATTGCATGGTATCGTTAACGTTACTGACAAAAGCATTTGACATGGGTTAGCTTGTTGGCTAACAGAGACAGACCTTTTCGATCTTTCACATGAGTGATAATTAATCCGGACCAACGGTTAACAGACTAACGATCATGGATTCCATTATGTATAACGTTAATAACGTAAAGATACACGCTGATGTTACAGACTGGGTTGGCTGGCAGACGCAGTTAACAGTTATTGCATGCCAAATTCTCTTTTCATGTTCAAACTCAGATAAATGACAGCTCCTTTTTGCAATGAGGAATTATTGATACAGAAAATATCGGTCAAAGCTGTGTACGTGGACTCAAAGCCCCCCCTGGTTTCACTTACGGTCGGTTGCATCCGCCTTCAACTGTCTAGTGCTGAATGAATAGGATCGCACACAGTAGAAATTGCTCCCTCTCTGGGTCTGTAAAACTGAGCTTGGCGGTGTCTACGCCACGGGAAATCTGATTGGGCAGTAATGCGTATGACGTTGGAGAAGCGTGGTACGGAAGGCACGCCCACGTGGAATTCTGATTGGACAATGCTCTATATTACCCGAGTTAGAATTTTCTTATTGGTTAATTTCACTGGACCCCACCCACTACCTCTGAAGGCGGAGCGTGTGCAGGAGTACATGTAAATATTAAAAATATGATGTTCACGAATAAAAAGGTTAATGTCTATTAAGTATCGTATTTTTTTTTTTAAACTAGTATAGTATTAAAGTATAAGTACCCAGTCAAAAAAAAAATGTAAAAGTAAAACTGATCCACATTATGTGTATTTCAGAATTTTAAATTAAAAGTAAACAATTTACAAAAAACAAGTTTTTATTTTAGTCTCATTTTAGTATTTATGACACAGTGAACTCTAAATAAAGTCCACTGGCTCTTTAAAAAAAGGAAAGTTAAACTTATGTGAGCATGGTTGATTGGTTTGCTACTCACATTATAGGATAATGTAGAAAAATACTACTATTTTTAAATCATTAAGTCCTGAAGTCATATGACATGTATGTCTGTAATGTAGTAAAATAAAAAGTATTACTTTGTCCTTGTAAGTGTAATTGAGTAAATGTACAAGCATTTAGTTTAACAGAACTCTAAGTACAAATTCTGCACTTAAATAAGTACTTAAATAATTTCCACCACTTTAGGTCTTTTCTAAAATCCAAATAATGGAGGCAATTGGTGTTACGTAAACAGATGTGAATATTTTGAAAGTAAATCAGCCTGTAATTGTAAAAATGACTGTAATTAAATTATGTGTTATAAGGTTGTTTTTGGTTTTAGACTCTGTGACCTGTTTATCTGTATCCACGGTGCCCCAGGACTGTACAGTATGTTTTATACAGATAAATGGAGAGGAGTTCAAAAAAGGGTGTCACCCCTTTCATGTCACTATCATTCTCTGGGTGGGCATATTTGAAGAAATTATCTTAAATACTTTACATGAAGGTGGATTTGCTACCTTTGAATAATAGAATATAGGCCAAACATAAATACAAATTTGTTATATATTTTCTAAAATATCCATCCAATAAATGAGACATATATCAAACATAATTCAACCTTTATTGCAACAATGAATCACAAAGTGTTCATACCTGACTTTAAACACGGTTTGTGTTCACAAATAACTGCACATGTAAATCAGAGAAGGTCTTGCTCTTGCAACACATGCTGTGTCTGTTCATTAAGAGTTACTGTCACTGAAACACTTAGAGCAGCAGAATGAACAGACCTGAATAAATATAACAAATAGTATACTTTAAACAGTGTCATCCAGGATGCACATTTAAAAGTGATGTATAAATGTAAAAGAAAAAAAATTATTATTATAATACGTTCCAAATCAATCTGTTTTGCTCTGTCTGTACACAAACCAACGCTGTTATGTCACTCAAAGGTTTAGCCATACTGCACTGGTCAGCTGAACATGCTCGAAAGTAGGTCATAACCATGTTAGATACTGGCAGAGTCTGCAGATTGTGCTACTGAGAGATGAAAGTAATAGTATGTAACATTCAGAATTTTCCCTATCTTTATTAGATTTTACATTAATTAATCCCCCCAGGCTAATAATAGTCATACTAATAATACATTTGTTTATAAACATATTCAAATCGTTTATTCTAAATAAAAGTTAGCAAATGTGTTTTATGTTTTATTTTTTATGGGCCATATGATACATGTAGAATTTAGAGCTCACACTCAAGCAAAAAGGTAAAATTAAAGATATGTAAATCAAAAAGATTTTTATAGCGGTATCAATCAGACAACTTATATAAAATGCATATAAATCTCGCTTATCACTAACTCACCATCATCTTATTGAAGACTATATGTAAATGCTTAGTTTCATTATCATTTTGGGGGGGAAACAGGCCTATAAATTCCTCAAAAGCCTGCTTGTATTTGACAGTTGACACAAACATATTTTAACATGAATGTTGAATTAACATGTTGAATTAACATGAAGTGAATGTCCATCTTGCAATATAAGGCGACTAAAAATACAAAAGTTGTTCTTATGTTTACTTCATGAAAATCGTTAAAGATTATTAGAATTAGGCCTATACTGAAAGTCCTAAAAAGTAGCCTGAACTATTAATAGTATAAAGAAATAGTAAGACATACTAAGAAAAAGAAGAATACTACAATACAATACAATACAATACAATACAATACAATACAATACAATACAATACAATACAATACAATACAAACACCAGTTGAAAATGTACTATAATCATAGACATAAGGAACTACTGAACTCGGGTTTAAACAAACTACAACTCCCAACTCTTCACTGTTTCACCGCGCAGACTCGTTGGAGTTCTAGCGCATTCCCTTGATGCCTACACGCATGCGCAGTCGTACATGGGAGCATTGGGTATCAATTTGGTCAAACAGCGGGTGATAAAATGGTAGGTGACATAGAATTTAAAAATATTGCTTTCGTTTTATGCTTCTATGTTCGACGGAGAAGATCCGGCAAACGTATATATCCCACGTCTCGTGCCATTCGTTGTCTGCGCGTGTCGCACCGAGAATGCTCATAATTGTGTGTATGTTTTGTATGTGCAGGAAGGTCAGTTGTTGATTTTTAGGCAGTTAAGCATGTACCTTTTCCGCTTAGGTGTTCTGGAATCTTATCCTGCGTAATGCATAAAGCATACGAGAATGAATACGATTCTGTGCTTTAGCCCGACATGCATGCTGTTAACCCTGATGTTCTGTTGAGGGTTTTAGAGACCCCAAGCCAAAAGTCGGTTTATATCGAAATCGAACCTAGCATTGGACAGGTTAAACGTCATGACTTTTCCAAAACGCAGGCGATCTGATTCTAAACAAGTTTTCTGAGACACGTTTTCATTGTTTTACATTCAAAACAAACCATCTGTTATGCTGTCATTGAAACCCCAAGTTAAAAACCCGCACTGATATTGATATGTCTACTGTTATTTCACACATATACAATAGGGGCCTCTGGGACCCCAAACAACCAGGCAGTCAATGTCAGCAGAACAGGGGGGGTTAAGTGTCATCCATACCCAGTCCATGAAATTTCGAACGTCAGTCTTTTAGCCCTGCCTCTTTAACTCAGCCCTCAATAGTAGCCTGGTTGGTTACCAGATTGTAATCTTGAGTGGGCTATCAAACTTTTTAAGTCATGTGATGGCCTGATCAAAATGGTTCTTTTGAACTTGTTTAAAAAACTAAAGTAAAACAGCTTACTGTGCATGGATGGAAATAACTCTGGGGTAACCTGGTTGGTTTGCACTGGCTGCCCTGAGCTTGCCATCTCATATTACATGCCAAGAGCAAGTGGCCTGTCACAGGTCCTCACATGCTTGGGGCTTCAGACGAACTTGCTATAACCGGTAGAATGTCCTTTTGTATTGAAACATTTGTCTGGACGTTTGCTCAACGCTTTGTTTACGGTTGTTCAAGCTTTAGTCTTGTGCCTGAATGTTTGCAATTTTTTCTCTCTGTATGTTTGTTTGTGTCTCTTTCTGTTTGTACACACTGCTGAGCGTATTCCTCCGTCTGTCTGAGTTCATGTCTGAGGGCATATCTTTTGTGTCCACACAGCATAAGCTAAAATCCTCCCAAAAGGACAAGGTACGGCAGTTCATGTCCTTCACTCAAGCTGGGGAGAAGACCGCCGTATACTGCCTCACTCAAAATGACTGGAAACTAGAGGTGGCCACCGACAACTACTTTCAGAACCCAGATTTGTACCACAAGGAATCCATGAAAAGCTCAGTGGACCGAAAAAAGCTGGAGCAGCTTTACAATCGATATAAAGGTGAGTTTTTCTAATTCTGATATTTGTTTTGCCTTCTGTTCTGTGCCTGATAGTACCATTGCATGCTTAAAGGTGATTGTTTTACTAGTTAAATAAGGCTTTCCCATAAAGAAATGGATACTTTTAGATTTTGTTCTATTACTTGTTACTATGTTTTAAATGTAAAGCTATTTTAGTTGTCCACACAGAGTGGGTTACACCCTCATGGGGGCTGTCATTTTGAGATCACGCGACCAGCTGTGTCAGGCAGTTCCACTGAGTTACTAATAATAAAAACAATAACTTTACTTTATATAGTTCTTCTCCAGTACTTAAAGTCAGCATGAAATGGAAATACACCCTATATATTTTTTCAAAATGTCATATCTTTTCTGGTGAAACTTTGTCTAGTGACATATGGCAGGCTTCTCGAATCATTTCGTCCTCATAAACCCCGGCTCTTACAGTCGATTGTAAACTTACATTCAGAACCAAGTCCCCACCACACTTTTTTTCTCGGATTTACGCCACAATATGGAAGAAAAGACCAAACAATAATGTCATAGAACTTAGAATAAAATGTATGTTTAAGTGGAAAAATGAAATGTCTAAACAAGCCGTTCCTGTTAGAGCAATGAAACAAGACCCACAGAGCGAAGAAAAAAATGTCTGGACCTTCGTAAACAAACTTCATGCACCCATGTGTTATTCTAAAAACTGCCAAAAACACTGGGATGTCGAAGAAACTTTCTCTGTGCACCTTTAAATGCTGAATTCCTCACAAAAATGTTTGTTTTGCTGAACTAACACTTTTTTTTTAAGTGACCTACATGTTTTTTTATTCTCCCTCAGATCCCCAGGATGAGAATAAGATTGGGATTGATGGAATTCAACAGTTCTGTGATGACCTCAATTTGGATCCAGCAAGCATCAGTGTGCTGGTTGTGGCATGGAAATTCCGTGCAGCAACACAGTGTGAATTCAGCAAAAAAGAATTCATTGATGGAATGACCGAACTGGGGTGGGCTATGAAATCATGAATTTATTTAGTCATTAATTTGACAATATTTGGGTTGTGTGGCGGCTGGGGTTATCATTGTGTAATAATGAAAGGTTTTGGAATGTTAAACATAAAATGTCCTACCGCCTGACAGAATCACTGAAATAGAATCCCAATTGAAATGTTGGATTTCTCTCAAATGATTTTGCATGTTTGGATTTGCTAAGTGAAGCTGTAGTTGAAATTGCCAGAATGGAAGTCACATGTATATGGAATGACATGTATATGAGCTAGTGTTTAGACGTTTCATTTCTCCTTCAGCTGCGACAGTCCAGAGAAACTTCGAGCTCTTCTGCCCCGATTAGAACAGGATCTGAAAGACAGCGGAAAGTTTAAAGATTTTTACCAGTTCACCTTCAATTTTGCCAAGAATCCTGGACAAAAAGGTTTAGGTAACGGCAGTATACCTGTAATCTCTCCAGTCTGAATAAACAGTTGTCTATATTATTGGTTGAACTGTCTTTTCCCATTACAGATTTAGAGATGGCAGTAGCATATTGGAACCTGGTTCTGGCTGGACGTTTTAAGTTCCTAGACCTCTGGAACAGATTTTTATTGGTAAGTCATTGCAGCATTGGACGTTTGACCCTCTTTAGCACTCAAAACTAATTAAAATGGGCTATCTGGCTGCTACGCAACACATTAAGCACATAGTGGAATAACTTCCTTTAGCAATTAATTTAGATGCTTCTCTAGTCTCTGCCCTTATTTTGCGCAGGAGCATCATAAACGATCAATTCCCAAAGACACGTGGAACTTGCTTCTGGATTTCGGCAACATGATTGCAGATGACATGTCAAACTATGATGAAGAAGGTGAGACACATCATTCATTTTTGTTGTATTTTGTGAGCTAATATGCTGCTGCTTGAGTTTTTAGTGGTTGGTTTTTGTATTTTTGAAGTCATACTGCAAATTGGCTGCCTTTATGATGGATTTTAATCACATGACCTCCTGTTTTGTTTCAGGAGCATGGCCTGTTCTCATTGATGACTTTGTGGAATATGCTCGGCCAATCGTGACAGGATCAAAACGCAAAACTGTATAGTAATGCTACCATCGGGCGAGAACTCGCACCTTGGTCGCCTCATTGACTTTGTAGTTTTTTTAAAGACTTGTAAGCATAATAAGAGAGAACTAAGAGAAACACTTGAACCCGACAAGCTTTGCAAAAGGAAAACAGGATGGAAAATACGTCTCAGACTTCCACACACCACACGGGAAGGACAAGAGCACGAGACACAAGATTTCTGATAGAGCCATCTAATGCACATGGCCAGCTATATTTGCACTGGCTACTCATTTCTAGCCTGAAACCCTTGGAGATTTTGGGTGGATATCTTTGAACCTAGTACCTCATCTCCATAGCAATCAGTGTCACTCTATAGGGCAGAGTTCTCATTGCCGACCCACTCCTTACAGTCTGAATTATGGAATAGTCTCTCCAGTTTTGTTTTAGATTATGGACCCATCTGTCTGGTTGTGTATCTCATGCAAAACTTGATGCTGATCATGTCAGCATTTTAAGCCAGACGTTCATGGGCAGCACAGCATGCGGCTCGCAACACCAGCACTATTGTTACAGTTGTAAAATACTGTATCTACTGCAGCAGTTTGTACAGAGAGAAATGTATTATCAGTAATGTTTTATTATATGAAGTACGAGACATATGAAAGAAAAGCGTGGTCTAAAAAAAGATGCCTCCATACCATGTTCTTGTGTGATTTTAGTTCAAACGTGTCATCTGCCCTGTTGCGGAACTTGTAACAACGCGGTTCAGTGTTACACCTTTTTTTGTTTATCAGATTTATGTTAAAAAATAAATTATTGCCCTTTACTTTCTTCTCAATCTACAACAACCCTGTTATTCTTTAACAGGCCTTTGATAACAAGAGGCTTTGCTAGCCTTCACTTTGAAACATTCTCCCATCAGTATCACAAATTCAACACACTTATGAATCAAAATATAATCTTTCCAGAATATGAATATCTCACTTCATAAATCACAGTGCTTCAAACTGTTTTGCAATTCATCCTGCTGCAAATTTGCAACCCAAGAGCATGATGGTAGGGATAACTGCATTTGGGTTGCATTTGGTTTGCACCAAACATTCAGGACATTGAGATTCATTTTAGTGCAGACCACAATTTTCTCCTAAGAGCTTTCAGGTTTGTCACATGGCTTCTAGCAAAAACCAGGCATGCTACTATGTTTATCTTTTTCTGGAGTGGTTTCCTTCTCACCCAAGAGAGTGCCAAATCTGCAGTGTTGAAAATATTGATGTCAGACAAAATGCTCTGCAACGCTTTCATGACTGTATCTGGCCTCTTGGTCACCCGTATGACATCTTCCCTGTTTTTGTGTATTGCTCATGCTACTTTCATCCATTCTGTTGAACTTCCATCCACAATGAACTTAATGTGTGTAAGGATATACAAAGCTTTGCTAATAATATAACTTTTTGTAGCTTTTTTAATCCTTTAATTAATCTCAGAGTTTCACAGGCAGATATTTTGTTTTAGTGGATTGAAGAGTTAAAATTTAAGGGTATTTCAAAATAATTGATTATTTCACTTAATTTATGCTATTTAAAACGGTTTATGTAGCTAATGACATTCTTCTGAGGAACACTACTTTTAAAGCTACTATTCTGCCTGAAAATCGAAATATTTGTGTTGCACAGAAGAAAGAAAGCCTTGTGGATCGGGGGCAGCATGAGGGTGATTAAATGATGACAGAATTTTTATTTTGGTCCTTCAATGGCGGAAATGGACTTGTGCAATGCGATTTCCCTGTGTACCACAAGAGAGCGGCAGTGTGTGTAACCCAAAGAAGCTTTACGTTTGACGTTTTAAGCGCTTGTGTATTTATGTATTGCTGTATTTTTATTATTTGTGTTTATGTGTATGTTATATTCTCAGTCTGTAAAAACAATATTTTCACTGAAATCTATATTTTTGTTGCGTTATTACTTTCTGTCCATATACAAATATTTAAAAATGACGGAACTTCACAAAATCTGTGTTTCTCGACGGAGTGGGATCAATGTAACACACGTTTTATGCTAACCGCGGGCTTCAATCTATACAGAGGATCAGTCTTACAAACTCATTTTCTATCTATTAAATTTGACAAGAATGACAGTTTTTTGTATTTGACAAACAGTACAATCACAATGAATCTTGACAGGCTTCGTAAAAGAGTGAGACACTACATTGATCAGGTAAGTAGAGGCAGTATATTTAGCTTGAACACTAGCTTTAATTTACTCAGTAAATTATATTTTATTAATTTATGATTTTATGAAGCTGATTAGATGACATTACGTTATCGGAATATTACATAAAGAAAAGGGTATGGTTAGTACACTGAATTATTGGGCAATAATTTGTGTATTTACGAAGCTACCCAGATGACTTTCATGCTACCAGTTTTGAAAGCTTCTTAAATTACATTTAAATAACACAAGTGACTTATTGGTTAATAATAGGTATGACATCATGTTGTTTTGGGCTATTCTATTCTCGGGAGACACGCAATATAACATCTATGAGTGCTTGTGCTCGTCAAACTGCTCTAATGTGATCAAATGATTTCACCTATATGGTGATTGCTGAATAAAAGTCCAATTTTACCTCAGTGGTGAAAATCTCAAAATATGAATTAAATGTAGTTCCCCTCTGTTGTTTTTACATGATCTATTTTATAGCAACAGTATCAAAGTGCTCTGTTCTGGGCTGACAAAGTATCATCCTTATCACATGGTAAGTGTCTTCATCCTCCTGAACACTAGCAGTAGTTAATGTTGATAATTCTAAGATAAAATGCATATTTTGTTTTAATTAATTTAGCTTGACAGTGACAGTATATTGGATTAATCACATACTCTTTTAATCTCTTATAGAGGATCCTCAAGATATTTATTGGTTAGCGCAGTGCCTTTATTTGACAGCACAGTATCACAGAGCCTCTCATGCGCTCAGATCTCGCAAACTTGACAAGGTAAGAGCTGTTTTTTTTGTGTGTGTGTGTGGGGTGGGGGGGGGTTCTCCAAGTTGTAGTCTTTCAAACACGTAACCCAGTAAAATAGTTTACACAAATGCAGCCGATATTACTGAAATGTTTGAAGTGCATTAATGCGATAGAATAGAGCAAACAAATCAGCTTAATATTCAAGGAAATTAATGAAGTATTCAATTATTGTTATTTATGACAGACTTTTATTTTTATTTTTTCTCAGTTGTATGGGGCCTGTCAGTATCTAGCTGCAAGATGTCACGTGAGTATTTACATTAAAGCCACAAATTTGATTTATTTTATACATGATACAATATATTTAAAAAGTTGTTGTTTTTGATGGACAATTTGTAGAATGGATTTTAAATGGTAAATGTTAACATAGCAAATAGTACTATATTTATTGATAGCTGAAAGCATGATCAGATTTGTCAAAACATTTTATAAATGGACAATGTAATTTTGCAATGTAATTTTATGGCTAACAGACCGAATATTTCCTAAAGCTTAAATAAGGAAATAATGAATGATTTGTACTTTGTTGTTGTGATTTTCTGAAGTATGCCGCCAAAGAATATCAACAAGCTCTAGACATACTGGACATGGAGGAAGCAGCCAGTAAAAGATTATTAGACAAGAATGTAAAGGAGGATAATGGCTCTAGGGAAACCGTAAAGGAATGGGAAATGTCTCCTGCCTCAGTGAGTCTAACTCCTCATTTGTTTTTGTTTTTTCTTGTCATTGATTGTGTTTATTATGTTGAGTATAGAAACAAACTTGGTATTTGAATGGCATAAGAGGTTGACTGGTTCTTTTACTCCCTGTGGCCTTTTCTCTCAGATCAATAGCTCCATCTGTCTCCTGCGGGGGAAGATCTATGATGCCATGGACAACAGACCCCTAGCCACGTCTAGCTACAAAGAGGCCTTGAAACTGGATGTCTACTGCTTTGAAGCCTTTGACCTTTTGACGTCCCATCACATGTTGACCGCCCAAGAGGGTGAGAGAAACTATTCATATGTACATGCAATGTTTGAAAATCTTTAGTCCCTGTTTGTAAGTAAAGTCACTTAAAGGGATAGTTCACTTTGAAATTAATTCTTTGATATGTTTTAGCTTACCTCAAGGGCATCCAAGATGTCGGTGTCTTTGTTTCCACAGTATTTTCAATTTTTATATTTTTAGGTCAAACCGTTCTTGTCTGTCAGTCATATAATGGAGGTATATGGGGTCCACCTCAAAGAGCATGCACAGAGAAGTCCAAATTAAACATGATTTAATGACTCGTAAATGTAAGTACACATTGATGGCCTAAGACACGAAACGAGCGGTTTGTGTGAGAAAGTGAACAGTATTTAAATAGTTTTTACCTCTTGTAACCACAGCCTGCTCTTTGAGGTGGGCCCCATAGACCTCCATTATATGACTGACAGACAAGAACGGTTTGACCTAAAAATATCAAAATTGAAAATACTGTGGAAACAAAGACACCTACATCTTGGATGCCCTTGAGGTTAGCTAAAACATATCAAAGAATTAATTTCAAAGTGAACTATCCCTTTAAAGCTTAACTAACATTGTAAGTGGACCAAACAAAAATGATTGTATAAAATCATAAGAAAGATATGACGCCTTTACATTTTTTATTCAGTGTTTTGTTTTCTGACTTATAGCCACAATGCCCTCATTTTCGTCACTTTAAAGTCACCGTGGATAAAATGAATAAATGCTTTCAAATTAATAAAATGTTATCTTGTTGTAGAAAAAGATTTCTTGGATTCTCTGCCCTTAAGTCAACAGTGTACAGAAGAGGAAGTGGAATTGCTGCGATTCCTTTTTGAAAATAAATTAAAGAAGGTGAGAGGGCCCCCTTTCTAATCAATTTAAACTCACAAAAGTTCATATCAGGACAAAGGTAAAATATTTGTGTACCAAAGATGGTTTGCTATGATTTACATATGAAATAGATCAGATGCTGTTAATTGATTTTTGTTTTATTATTCTGTAGTTTAAACAAGAACATGCACAAATTACTCTGAGAATTTGAAGTACCTGTTTATTCATTCAATGGGTTTGAAGTGCTCACTGAAGAGCTAATCAGAAACTCTTCTCTTTCAGTATAACAAACCTAGCGAGATGGTCATCCCAGATATAGTCAACGGTCTCCAGGACAACTTGGATATTGTCGTCTCCCTCGCTGAGCGACATTATTACAACTGTGACTTTAAAATGTGCTACTCTCTTACATCAATGTAAGTCTGCAAACACCCATATCTAAAGTTCTGTTGGACATTTAGGGAAAGGTTGAATTCATCTAATGTTTGTTTGTTTGTTTTTTATTCAAGGGTTATGGTGAAAGACCCATTTCATGCCAACTGTTTACCAGTGCACATAGGAACCCTCGTTGAGCTTAGCAAAGCAAATGGTATGAGATTAATATTGATTTCAGGTTTACATTTAAGTGTCGAATTTGAATGTGGAATCATAACAATTACCATCCATTGTCTCTTTAGAGTTGTTTTACCTGTCTCATAAACTGGTGGATTTATATCCCAGCAATCCAGTGAGTAACAAGGAAATTGTCATTCAGAAGATGAGTTTCAGTTAAGTTTCATGTGATTTTTGTTTTCTAATCAGTTCTTTCTCTATGAACCTCTCCAAGGTTTCATGGTTTGCTGTCGGATGTTACTACCTCATGGTTGGGCATAAAAACGAACATGCAAGGCGGTATCTCAGGTATGACTCAGTGGACTTAGTTGACTTTCACTACAGTTCAAAGTTTAGGGTCAGTAAGATTTTCTTTCTTTCTTTTATAGAAATTAAGAGTTTTGTTAAAAAAAAAATATATATATATACTATTGTTTTAAACTTTTTATACATCAAAGAATTAAAAAAACAAATCATGATTTCCACAAAAAAAGCATATTAGAATGATTTCTAAAGGATCATGTGATACTGAAGACTGGAGTAATGGTGCTGAAAATTCAGCTTTGGCATCACAGGAATAAATTACATTTTAAAATATAGAAAAGTTATTTTAAATGGCAATAATATTTCAAAGTGTTACTTTTTTTTACTGTAATTCTGATTAAAAAAATGCAGCATTGATGAGCATAAGCAGAAAAACATTTGAAAAATCTCACTGAAATGATCATTTAATGATTTATAATATACGCTGCTTACTCAGGAAGTCACTTATATCTTTGAAAAAATGCCAAAAGAGTGAATTAGAATTTAAGTATTGTAACCTATTGCCCTATTACATAAACAGAAAAAAAAACTTTTAGTGCTGAAACTGCAGAAATCAACCCACAGGTCATTTTCAGCAAACATGTTTTTGTGGTAAATCTGGGGAAAAGTTTCATAATGATGACAGATCTTTCGCCGAAACTTGTGGTTAACACCAAAATTCCCTTCCACAGTAAAGCCACCACGCTGGAGCGCACATACGGCCCGGCATGGATAGCATACGGCCACTCGTTTGCTGTGGAGAGCGAGCACGATCAGGCCATGGCTGCTTACTTCACTGCTGCCCAGCTCATGAAAGGGTTTGTAGACCTACAGCGTCTAATTTGTGACAATTAAATTAGTTAGGACAAGAATATTTGCCTCTCTTATATGACTTGTGTGTTTTGAAATTGGAAAAGCCATTAGGCTGGAGAAAAAAAAACTTTCTGGCTTCCTGTTTGAGCAGATGTCACCTGCCCATGCTTTACATTGGTCTGGAGTACGGACTCACTAACAACCCCAAGCTGGCAGAACGTTTCTTTAGCCAGGCCCTCAGCATCGCGCCTGAAGACCCCTTTGTCATTCATGAGGTAGCTGTGGTTGCCTTCCAAAATGGAGAGTAAGTGATAAAAAAAAATAAAAAAAATCACACTATATTCATCAGTGGTTAGTGGTTTTACTGATGAGCGCTTTGCATTGTTGCAGTTATAAAACAGCCGAGAAGTTGTTTCTAGATGCAATGGACAAGATCAAAGCCATTGGAAATGAGGTAACCACCCTCTTGCTTCTATGATCTAATGTTTTATTTTTTTAATCAGAATAGATGGAGTGAAGTTCAGCTTGTTCAGTATGACGTACTTTTATGTTCCTGGATATATCGGGTCAACTCATGAAACTCATGAAATGAAAATATCAAATTTCCAATATACAAAGATTCTTGTACTCACTTACAAATTGTTTGATGGTACATGTTATTTACAAAAATACCGTTGTAAATTGTCTCAATGAATTATTTTTCTCCAGGTCACAGTTGACAAATGGGAGCCACTCTTAAACAATTTGGGTCATGTATGTCGAAAATTGAAGTAAGTTGAAAGAATTTTTAAAGTACATTTTAATTTTAGTTGTTTTTTCCCCCAGTATAAAAAACTAAACTACCATTAAATGGTAAAGGGTCAGTAAGAATTTTTTAAAAATTTTATTTAGATTTTTAAAAAGAATGTATTTAGCAAGGACACATTCTGTTCTGTAAGTGACATTTAAGACATTTGATAATTTTAAAAAATAATTATATTTCAAATAAATGCTGTTTTTTATATATATATATATATATATATATATATATATATTAGCCTGACTTCGTCATACTCATATTCAAGAGAGAATATGAGTCTGAAACTCCTTCGTTGGGCTTTGATTATGAGGCGTGTCGTAACCGAACCAGGAAAAAAAAAAACCCCTCTGCACTCAATTGGATAGTCGGTAGACCTACAACCAATCAGAGCAACGCAGTAAGTCAACTCCTTTGCATAGCGCAGTTTTCAAATACAGAACGTAGCCTAACTTTATTTATTTTAGAAGTTAAATAACAAGTGTTGCTTCTTTTACTCCATGAGTGCGACCAAAGGAGAAACCACAACGACCACAGGCTTTTCATTACGTCCCATCTTCTTACTGTAACCGTCAGAGCCAGCTGATAAGTCACACTTTTCCCGAATCATGTAGGAAGGACGCCAAAAATATATTTCCGATCGACAAATGTCTTGATTGCAGTTTGTCTATTAAAATGAATGTGCTGAGCGGAATCTTTACATCTCAATTCTCCAGCTGCAGTCATCTCTGAGGGAAGACAGTTAAGCGCTCTTTGATTATGTGATGATTACGTCCCCGCAGATCATCTGTCCATCATCGTATAAAGCCCGCCCTGGCAATTTGATTGGCCCGATCATTTTTTGACTGATCATAATTACTCCTCAATGGATCGAGTCCAGACCAAACTTCCCGACCAAAAAATGTTGTGGGCGGAGTTCGGGCTGGCATCCAGGCTATATATATATATATATATATATATATATATATATGAAGGGTTCAGATGCAAAAGCCTCTAAATGCCATTTGAAATTTTCTTCTTTAATGATGATTTTTATCAAATATGTATATTTAAGTTCAGTAATTACTTCAGTAATTAAAAATTACTGAACTTAAATATACAAGCTTGATAAAAATCATCATTAAAGAAGAAAATTTCAAGTGGCATTTAGAGGCTTTTGCATCTGAACTCTTCATATATACATACTTTGTAATCATCAAAGAATCCTGAAAAAGTATCATGGTTTAGAATCACAGAATATTCAAAATATTTGTTGTGTTTAGCAGAAAAAACGTATATATACAGGTTTGGAACAACTTGAAGCTGAGTAAATTATGACAGAATTAAAATTTTGGGGTGAAATAACCCATATTAGAAGGATTTCTGAAGGATCATGTGACAGTGAAGCTTTTCCATCACAGGAATTAATTACATATTAAAATGCATTCAAATAGAAAACAGTAATTTTGGTTATTGTTTTACATAATTTATTTTACTTGATCAAACAAATGTAGCCTTTGTGAGCATAAAAAACTTATTTCAAAAACATAAAAAATAGTGATAGTATTGTATATAAATACAATGCATATTGCACATTTTTGCAGCTTAAAGGAGATGTAAAGAGTTTTATCTCTAAAAACTGTTTAGCGTATAATGCTTGTACTGGGGGCATTTACTAAGTA